ATTTCGCTTAAAGTGGATAGCCATAGGTATTCTAAGCCATTTTGTGAAGTTTTGAAATTTTTTCTTTTTTTCTTTTTATATATTTTTTTCGGCACCTAAAAAAATAAAATTTCGCTCAAAGTGGGTGGCCATAGGAATTTTAAGCCATTCTGTAAAGTTTTGAAATTTTTACTTTTTTGCTTATTTTTATTTTTTTTGGCATATAAAAAATTTAAATTTCACTTCAAAGTGGGTGGCCACGATATTTTAATTTATTCTGTGAAGTTTTGAAATTTTTTATTTTTTTTATTTTTTTCGGCACCTAAAAAAATTTAAATTTCACTCAAAGTGGATGGCCACAAGTATTCTAAGCCATTCTGTGAAGTTTTGAAATTTTTGATTTTTTGCTTTTTTTTATTTTTTTCGGCACCTAAAAAAATAAAATTTCGCTCAAATCGGTGGCGGGTATTCTAAGATATTCTGTGAAGTTTTTAAATTTTAGAATTTTTTTGGCAACTAAAAAAATTAAATTTTGCTCAAAGTGGGTGGCCATAGGTTTTCTAAGCCATTTTGTGAAATTTTGAAATTTTTTATTTTTATTTATTTATATTTATTTTTTTCGGTACCTAAAAAAATTTAAATTTCACTGAAAGTGGGTAGCCACAGATTCTAAACCATTCTGTTAAGTTTTGAAATTTTTGATTTTTTGCTTTTTTTTTCTCACCTCAAAGATCGTGACTTCCATATGAATATGTGTGTTGAAGAAAATGAATTCCTCAGAAATGGTTCTCACTTTTGTTCCAGAAATGAAAAACCAACTTTTTTTTTGTTCTCATTTCTGGTTTCAGAATCAGTTTTGGAAGCAAACTTGTCCCGGAAATAGAAAAATGAAATTGCGTTACCAAACGGGTTTCTGGTCCAAAACTGATTCTGGGAACAAAAAACCAGTTCTTGACAGAACCAGAATGGTTTTCATGCAGCACCTTAGTCTCACACAGTCACGCGGAGCCGCCTCCCTCCCTCTAGCTTGAAGCCATCTCAAGTCTCAACTCTTGCCTCCCTTTCTTGCTCTCGTCTCTCAGCTCACGGACTCTCTCGCCTAATGTCAATACCCATCAACCAGGCTGCAATACCCTCTGTAAGACACGAACCAATTTTGAATAGAACAATCAGTTCGCCTTCCAAAATCCTCACGTCTCACAAAAAAGTTCAACTCAGCTTCAATCGAGGATGTGGCTTCAATTACCAGCTGCCTCATCATACCAAACGACCCTCTCAAATGCAACGACAGCAGAAGAGGACTCGAAATCTTCAATGGGAAACCCTCATCGAGTGCATACCAAATGCAGCGATCGACCACAATTTCCCTCAAACTGCTCGAACATAGCTCGACGTTTTGCTTCAAACCGCGGCATTCCTCCAACCTAATGCACTCAAGAACAGGACTGCCCTTCAAAATTTCGTGCGTCACCTTATCTGTGATCTCCGAGCCGCAAATAGACAGGGGCTTGAGATTACTCCAAGCGACACTCCTACTAAATGGGAAGCTAAGGAGCCTCAAATGCAGGTTCACCAACATAGCCAGGGGACTGAGCTCAGGCTCGCAATAGTCGAGAAAATCGATGTCGATGTGGAACTTCCTCACCTTAGGCGACGCGTAGAGGATCAAGAGGCTGTCCACGAACGGGGAGTCGTGCCAGGGGAAGAAGAAGATGAGGTCCGGGGCGGCGGTCCAGACGGATTGCCACCGTGTCGACAAGACGCAGGTTCAGGCAATGTGTGTGACGTCGAGGAAGGAGAAGATGTGGTGGATCACCGAGTCAGGCAAGATGCTGATGTGATCAGCATCGTCGCCTAGGGTTTTGCACTGATGAGAGGAGGGTGACGATGAGGTCTGCGATCGCTTCTTCGCCATGTGGGGTCGACGATTGCATGGGAAGGAGAGCCTCCAGTTTTAGGATTCTTTACGCTCGACTGGAGTTTTGGCTTCCGGTCGTGCAACACGTGTCGCTCGATGGAGGGACGACCATTTTCCCTGTTCATGAGCAAGTATGACATCTCATGAGCTTAAAGATTAAAATAAGTCAAAGACGTGTTAGGAGAAGTCATGGTCCTTGCAAAAGTTAGAAGGTTCGGATTTTAAGGAGGCGAATTTTCTTAATTCGGGTGGAACAGATTGATTCGTCCTCCGTATTGAAAAACTGGAGCTGTTCATAATATTTTGAAAGTGGACAAATATCCAACCAAAACAAATAAAAGAAGTGGATAAATCAAAATTTTAAATCTTCTAATAGTTGCACACCCACATGCATACACGCTCACAGAACACTTTCCCCAACCGATGGTTTTATAGGCTCTCTCAATCTCCTAAAACACGGCAGAAACTCGAGTCTAAAACAAAAGCAGAAAGTCTGGACAGCAGGTTAACCCAGAAAGACACCAAATTCTCCTTTAGGTGCTTCAACTGCAGTATAGGTAGAAGGAGCACTCAGGGCAAACAACAAAAGCTACGGATAATTGTGCTGCATGAAAGTTGGAGGTGTAATCTCTGAAGTGACCAATAGAAAGTGAAATCTAGAACTTTGACAAGAATTAACTTCACCCAGTATAGTTGTTTACTTAACCAGCCCATTACTTCCAGGCAATACTGATTTCTGCCATTAGATCCATTTATTAAGAAAGACTGCTGTATGGAAGCAAGAAAGGAAAGAAGTACTCATTGACTGAATCTGATAGACTATACTGCTATATATTTGATCTGAACATACAGGAGGCTTACAACAAAACCCCAACTCTCTCAACTGCAAAGGATATTGAAAAATTGCTTTGAAGAATTTGAGAGCTCTACAAATGAATCTGACCATCGTCAGTTAAATCAGTTTCTCTGGGTACTAGTCCAGGCATGCGAGGAACTCTTGGAGCTGGAGGGAAATAACGAGTAGTGCGATCTTCAAATGCCAAAGAGTTGCCAGAAGTGTCCTATGAAAAAATGAATAATTATCTTTCCAATTGGAAAAAAAAGAAGAAAAAACATAACAAGAGATTAAAGTTCAGGAGTCAACAATCAGCAAATCAACAACTCACGGCTGACACCAAACATAACTTTTTCAAAAAAACCTTCCATATACCCATATTGAAGCTGTTGGACCGTGAAATAAGATTCTAATTTTGAAAAAAGAAATATTTAAGTAAACCAGACTAACATAACTACTTAACTGCAAACAAAGCATTAGATATAACATGAAAGGTATGAACAATAAAATATTGTCTGTTAAGAATCAAGATCGAGAAGTTATATTAACTTTTTCAACTTGAAAGATGCATACTCTATTCACTTGGGCATCCTCCTCCCAATTGAGACACACCACAGCTGCCGCATGGGACTACAAGCTTCTTAACAGTTTTCCATTCTGCTTAATATTTATACCGTGTTAAAAATAAATATACCACAGTATGTATAACTGCTGCAAGCACTGGCATATAAAAAGCAGCACACCACATATCCACGGTTCCATAACGACAGCTAGATTGGTCAGATAACTTTCACATGTAAAAATAAGCTCTTTAGAGCAAAACTTAATCCATGAAGTGGACAACAATTAGTAAATTTGTAGAAATCGCAAAGAAACTTTATTGCAGCAGCATCAACCAAGTTCTGAGCAATTGTACCACTGACCAAACATTTATAGCTTAATGACATAACCGGTTATCTACGAACTTTTCCCCCACAAGCATAATTGAGGCACATACAAATTCTCTCATTTAGGAGTCACCCAAATTATTACCTTCCTAATTTGACTGAACTGGACAATTGGACATATGTAACTTTTAATAATGGAAAGAAACTATTAATTTGATGAAAATGAGCATGTCATGGATGACTGCTTCTATATGACACCATCCACTTAGACCGTAGATCCTCACAATGAGCTCAACACCAGTAAACACTACTTTAAGTCGTCATTGACATTTGAAACATTTTAGATCATCGATGACAACATCTGCAACAAGGTGACAATTATTTGTCCTACATGAGAATGAAATTGAGCACATCAATCAAATTCAAGTCTGATGACATTGAGATGGCATTCTGCAGGGGTTATCAAACCAGAAATAATATTACATCGTGAGAGTCACCAACAGAAATCGAAGGAAAACTATATAGATGCCTGACGACATTGTGATGGTATTCTGCAGGGGTCAAACCAGCCCACTCCATGTGGGCAGCAACCATTTCTGCATCTGACATAGCTAGTCTATCCATCATAAATGACATCCCCTCCAATTTGAGTTCTATATCTTCATGGACAATTTAACTGGTGTACCGAAAAGGGCAACAAGATGGCAATACAGGAGTATGGTACACTTGCGGTTGGTCCAGATGACTACCAGTAAGGTTATGGAAATCTCCTAAGGCACCAATCTCGTCTAGAAGTTGATAGGAATCTATCGCGCCTGTAAATAAACATCCCTTCATTCAATTAATATCAGCTTGGGATTCGTTAATTGCAACTATGTCATATCCAAATTTTCACTCTCATTTCCATATCATTCACTCTTCATTTGTGTGTAAAACACCAACTTCTCAGTTCAACGTCGTGTTCTCAATCAAACTTTCGAGCACTGTACCTCTCTATATTCACCAACTCTCCATCAAACGCAATTTGAGCTAGATTGGCAATTGAAGTGGTTTATTTGGGGAAAAGGAGCGTAACACATTTAGGAAAAGCAAAAGGAGATAAGGCCAATGACTCAAAGGGGCACGCACCAAGCCATCGCTGAAGACACCCACAAATTACCGGGAGAGATGGTCCACAGCCTCCTGCCAATCGAAGCGACGACGCACCCCCCACCTTCCTTGGAGTCCCTCCGTGAGACCATGGCCAGCAAATCCTTCTCCGGATTCCACTCACGACATCTTCACCCGCCCGCCAACCGGAAGAAATCGAGCAACAGCCTCACCAAAACCGAATCGGAAAACAATCGAATCGACCTTGAAGCTGAAACGGAAGCACCCCCACCTTCCTTCTGAGTCCTCCGTGCGACCGTGGCCATCAAATCCTTCGCCGGATTCCGCTCACGCCATCTTCACCCGCCCGCCGCCAACCGGAAGAAATCGAGCAAAAACCTCACCAAAACCGAGTTGGAACACAATCGAATCGACCCGGCCATCAGGAAGAAAGCGGGGTTTGTCGAACTTGAAGCTGAAACGGAAGCACACGCCGGCGACCCTTCTTCGTCGGTCTCCATCGCTAGAAAGCTCCGCCAAGCAGCCGGAAACAGCAGCCACCATCTCTCGTGAAAAAGCGCACAGCTTTCTCAAGCTCCCAACAAGTGTACTGTTATCTTCTCTTAAGAAGTAAGGACATGTTTCGTTTCGCATTGGAATATGAATCTTTTGAATTAATAATAGGTTAAATCTTATAATCACCACCAAATGCGGAAAGGCGAACGCTGACTCTATTCCTCTTTCCATTTCGTTCATTTCTCCGTTTCGTTTCTAACTTCGTACCTTCCGTTTCCCCGTACCAAAATGGATCGTGAATTCTTTTGGAACGTGCGTGATCGTCTGCCGATCGGTTCCGAAAGCACCGGACTTTGTTATAATCTTCGTTATTCCAATGGAAGAAAGTTCCGATCGATGGTTAGTAATCTTCGGAAAGTACCCAATAGTTTGTTCCTTGAAATTCGTTACGAGGACGATGGTGATCAGGAAGTTTCTTTTTACCCTTGATTTTCCTATTTGCTTTTTAGTTTTTACAAACTTCTTTTTTGTTGCGAACGAGAATTTTGATCCGGTGGATTCTGCTATAGACAAAAACAATGCACTTTTGTACGCTAACATGCGTCGTTGCTGATTAAAAATGAAAAGAGGAAAATCTATAAGTTGAGCGCGGATCGAGTGGTCTAGCCATTCGTGTGTCGATCTTCGGATTGCATATAGCCCGCATATGTACACTTGTGTGTTGAAATCACACGAGTTGTGCGACGGATCAAATTGCTATATCTTTATCTATCAGTTGAAAAGATAAAGCTGAAATCACTTCCAAAGTAGTGATATGTATTGAATTGCCAACTGAAATCCTTCTCAGAAAGCGAACAATTTGGAAAATATTTTTGAAAAAATAATCGCTCGTACGGTTGCAAAATATATGAGAACACAAGAAATTCTCATCATGCATGAAAATATCTAGACATAAATTATTATCGATGATGAGACGTATTTCATTGATCAATTATTTCAAGCAATACAAGCAATCACCTTTATAAATATATTTTCCAAGTCATTCATTCTTCGCGGAACAAAAGGAGCCTTAATTCGTGTCAATCTACAAATAATGTCATACGGCATGATGTTCAGGTTTGTCTAATAAACGATATCGTTTAATTCGGGTCCATATGTTCAACGGTAATCCAGTTGCGCACCCTAACAAAGCCCTCCTCCTCCGCTTGTCAAACATCGTAAAGGCCCGCCACGTCAGACTCATGGGACATCACATTGCTGCTCATGTGGTGGTGGATTAGTTATTGAAATGTAATTTGGAAAAAAAGCAATGTGATCATCCTCATTTACTTTTGAATTAAAAAAAAACATATGCTAACGAATTATTCAAAATCGGCATCTTACAAGAGTAAACATTCACGCATGCTTAAATGTCGAGACGACGGGCCAAAGCTCAAACTCGACCGAGCCATTTGCTGTCACCACCCAAGCTCGAAACACTCAGCCGAATAAAAATACTCGACCATGTCGTTTGCCATCACCACCCGAAATCCACCCCCTTACCGCATGCCATTTTTTTTTTCTTATTTTCCAATTTGTGATGATTTATTATCGAACTCGAACGTGCGGAATTATTCCCTAGTCGAGCGGCGAACGCTCTCCGTGTCCATGCCTACTGAGCCGGATATGGACTGACCCTACACCAGCTGCTTTTTCTTTGGTCTTTTGGTAAGTTATTCTGAGGCACAATGTACATTTGCACCGGTCGACATCGGGCAGAGTCGCAAACAATGTAAACCAGATTCCGGTGTAATAAAATTTAGGATGAACTTCCTCAAACTACGAATGGGCTAAATTTGAAATAAAAAACAATTTGCTCGCCTGAAAGCACCAATTACCAATCAAAAGCTTGGTTGCATTCTGAGGCCTCTGGCGCAGTCCCTCAACCAGGCTGCAATACCCTCTGCAAGCCTCGAACCAATTTCGAACAGAACAATCAATTTGCCTTCCAAAATCCTCACGTCTCAAAAAAAAAAGAAAAAGAGTAGTTCGACTCAGCTTTAATCAAGGATGAGGCTTCAATTACCAGCTGCCTCATCATACCAAACGACCCACTCAAATGCAACGACAGCAAAAAGAGGACTCGAAATCTCCAATGGGAAACCCTCATCAAGTGCATACCAAACGCAGAAAGCGATCACAATTTCCCTCAAAGTTCTCCAACAAAGCTTGATGTTTTGCTTCAAACCGCGGCATTCTTCCAACACCCTTCAAGGTCTCGTGCATCACCTCATCGGTGACCTTCGAGCAGCAGATGGACAGGGACTTAAGATTACTCCGAGCGATACTCCCACTACACGAGAAGCTAAAGGGCCTTAAATGCAGATTTACCAACGAAGAGCATCCGTAAAGGAGCAGCGGAACCGCGCTCGCACGGCCTCGTATCCACGTTGACAGAAAGATCCTCAGGGAAGGCGGTGGACAGCAAAATGAAGCCACGGACTGAGAATAGGCATCCAATAGTCGAGAAATTCAATGTCGATGCAGAACTTCCAGACACTAGGCGATGCGTACAGAGGATCAAGACGCTGTCCACGAACGGGGTGTCGTGCCAAGGGAAGGGAGAAGACGAGGTCATGGACACGTGTCACTCGCTGGAGAGACAACCTGCAATTTTCCCGCGCATTTTGAAAGCGAGTGGCAACCTTACGTTGTTGGATCACAAGTTCGAATCCTCGTACGTATTCATGAGGCGACGATGATAAGAGGGCTTGCTCATGTTGAAATACCATGTTGAAATACCGAGTAAATTCATTGAAGACGTGAAGATTTGAGAGGGCAATGAATAAAGGAGGATTTAATTTTAGAGTAAATTCAGCTAAAGTTCACAAAAAGCTATCATCACGATAAATAATAAAAATAAGAAGAGAAGTGTCACATATGCACATGTTACATTCACACATTCTTTCTCCTCGAGATTGGCAATAATTTGAAGAGAAAGAGTAACGCAATGAAGCAATTTTAGATTCTTGAATGTTTATACATCGTTAAGTTAAAAAGACTACATGATACTCTTTATTGAGGATTGCAAATCCATTAACGATATTGTAGACATAATCTCAAGATCTTAAACCAACCATTTATTTGAGGATTCCAAATCTCTGAGATTAGAATATAGCATATATTCTTTACTACCACATTGAAATCATATATATATTTGGCTAGTCATGTTCCACACAAGAATGTATTATGCACATAGGATGGGATGCATCACTTGACAATGACACGTGAAGGAGCGAGTCAATCTCGGGTGAGAGATTTCAACATTCAAATGAAAAGTTTGTTAGTCGAGTACACTGCGTGAATCATTTACCATTCAACCCAAAGTATAAATAATCCAAACCAAACATTTGGTTCTCTTACAAATGAAAACAATAAACATATACAGATGGAGCAAAAGCTGGGCACTATCGAGTAGGTCTCAGAGCTTGCAGCAATACCACGAAGACAGTTTCCACCGGATAGAAGCCATGACTCAGCATCTTTCGGTCAATTCTATCTAACTCGATAGATAAATAGTTACCTTGTACTCCATCTTCCTCTTCGACAAATGTCTGCCTAGCAGAAAAGGCACATGGCAGGTATAAATTAAGACTCTCCAAGAAGGGTGGAGTGGAAGCGCTTCAGTCAGAAAGCCCACATGCATTGCTTCTCACACTGATGTCTGCAGCTTCAAGTCTTAAGAGGTTCACCCACTGGAACGACACGGGCATAACCACCACAAATTCTTGAACAAACCGTCATTCTGAATCAGAAATTTCATCTTCATCCTCGTCCAGTATGTAGACCAGGGCCTGCATTCTTGCAGCTAAAACACAAGCCACACCTTTACTTGCTGTTGCCAAAAAAACATCAACTTGATTTCAGTCTGTTGTTCCTTGAATATATGGCCATAGCTAACGTGATGTTTAGATACCTTTGCTGGGTAAAAGAAAAAGTACAACACATGCATTATGCTAAAACACAGGCGGGAAGCAAACCTTGTGTGCCTAAAGAGGCTACGGCATGCATGTAAACTATGAATACTCTACACTATCTTGATCTATCATCATGAAATTGTACACAGTGGTTCTCAGTCAGTAACTCAGACTGCAATGCAACTACCATAAGAGGATTATTTTTCTTTTTGTATTTGTCTGGCGACTATAGATTCATCCTTTCCGCACTTTTTTCTCTCAATTGATTTAAAATTTGGGGGAAAAACTAGTACTTCAGTATTTTACCTCTTAGACTGAAAAAATGTTCTTCTTTGGAGCATACTTTTGTACAACTTCAATCTGTAGGAACAAACATGAAGTGGTCCCTTAAGGAGGCACAATGTACCTATGCCAGTCACATTTAAACTTAAGAGTAGGTTCTAAGTGGAAATGTAGTAAGGAGCATAGACAGGATTAATTCAGTTCCACCACCCAGCCAACTAGATAAATTTGTTACTGACACTGGCAAGTTTATCAAACATTGATGCACAAAGGAAAGAGCATGGGCAACAATAAGTTTCCAGACATCCAAAACTGCAAATGGACATGGTAAGAAGCTCAAAGAAAAAAATTTCAGAACTACACAATTGATGGCATGGCAATGAATTGATCCTTAGCTCGATAGTATGACAGTGTCAAAATGTTCTTACCACTAACTGACAAGGGAGGAACTACAGTATGGGGAATGCCGCGAAGCTTCTCATTCTCCATCTCCAGGTGCAAGATAGGGTCCTAGATGTGTAGTTTCACTGGGTTACTGTTTCAAAAGTGAGAATAATATAACCAAGCAAAAATGTCCTCACAAACTAGAAGCAAAAAGGGCACTACTAACCCATTATGGCCATCAAATACACATTTCTTAACCTACACAAAGTACAAGGCTCCAGCTGTCAAGATATGTTGGAACTTTTGCAGCTACGGTAAGGCAGAAAGTAAAACATCGTTTTGAAATCGCAAGCATGCATTGGCATGTATATGCATTATGCACATAGGAGGAAAAACTAAGCTGCTGGTACTCATGCTGATGAGGAGAGCAGAAAAATAATAAATAGGAACAATAAAAGAACAAACGTTTTCCTTACCAAAAAAAAAAAAAAGAACAAACGTTTTTAAAACCGGACCAGTGGTTCAGCCAGTCAAACAGGTAGAACCGTGCTCTACCGGTTTGACCGATTGAACCGATTGCATGTGATGTCATCTGATAGAATACTCTGCATATATTAGATAGCACACATTCAGAACAAAAGAAGCCCAGTAAGTCGGCAGACACCGTAGCATCTAAACAGATTACACACGCTTGATGTCAACTTAATAGCATCCTGTTCAATTTTCTAGTATATTAGGCCAATACGGTCAATAAATAAATTATCCACCACAAATTGAAGAAAGAAGAACTGGTCCAGACTAGTTGACAGATTTGCTGGGTACCAGTTGACAGGTACACCTGGTTACCGGTTGAACAGGGTCAATAGCACCAGTTCTTGACCAATACCATTTCTGCTGGGAAACCAGACTTGACAGGTCTGGTTCCCGGTCCAACCAGAGCCACTTCTTAAACTCTGAAAAGAACAGGAGTCGACAGAACAGCACAATATGCTAGTTTTTTCCTCTTGTGATCAATGTCTTAAATAGTGAATTGACATGATCGGAATAGAACTCGGGATATTATGAGTAAGAAATCAATATGCAAGCTCCGGATCCACGAGTTACCTTCAATTGGTACAACTCCCAGTTATTTGCGCAAGCGGTTCCTGCAATATGCACAAATGCGAGGTCACTGCCCGCAAGATTGTCATCACGGTATCTCCCAAGTTTTCACGAGTATCATTCATCTTATTTAGCAACATAACAATTTGATGTTCCTGTTTCCAAAAGAATATCTTAGCCACATTTGCAAATTTGGGCTTTAAAATATGATATTCCAAGCTTTTACCTTATATAGAGGCAAATCTACACAACAGTGACCAGGAGGGATGCACAACAAGATCCTTCCAAAGGTCTTCCCTGCTTCACATTGCTTAAATCATTGGTAAGTCCTCACACTACTGATATACAATTTGTTACGTCAAAAAAAGACTTGTCAGGTATTTGGAAGGAAATATGATCCGAAGCAAATTCAGAGTCATCCTGCAGAGCCATACAGAGAAGTGATTAGCATGAAAAAGTAGTTGTACTCTGCACATGTGGATCTCTAGATAATATTTGTATTTTCAGATTAAAGGTATATACCCCATAGAAGGACAGTGAATTGGGAACGTATCTGGTGGATGATGAAACTGACGGAAGAGGGAATAGTGGCAATGAATTCTTACAAAGTATCTTTTTTGAAATAGAAGAGAAAGGCATCTGGGAAGCTTCCTTGAAACTGTGATGATAAAATTAGATTCGAATCAGGAAACATGAGATGCAGTATTTCCATACACACGGATCATAAGCTAAACAGAGAGCCCAATCTGATAAGATCACCCAACTAAAGCTTCCATGTACATTGTCAAGTAATCAAACCTGAGATTAAATACGAAAAACTAGATTATTAGACAGAGGGTAAGTGAAAAACCATTGTTGAGGACAACCTCCAGAAGACAACCCCTAACACCCAATGGTTTCCTTTTCTTTCTCTCCTTCTCTCATTACAGTCTCAAGGTTCTGGTCACTCAGGCAAAGAAATATAGGTACAACTCGATGGTAAGAGGCATATGTATAGAAATATCCACAGACAAACCCCATTAACAGAAGTCCTGAATCAGCCAAACGAGAAATGACTATTTCAGCTCAAATTATTGATGAGTTGGGTAAAACCAAAAGCACAAGCTTTTTTTTTTAAAGGATTGCAATGTTTATAGAAACCAATTTTGAGCCCAGGTAATCATACTCAAATTCCTATTATGCATACAAAGAGGTCCATAATTTCACATTTGGTACACATATTGGCAATGAGGACCAGACTTGAAGGAGGGAAAAAGCAGTCACTTCAAACAATAGATAACAATAATGATTTATCACATAGTTACCACTGAGGCATGGGTAAGAACAATTATGAATGGAAAAAGTAGATTAGCATTAATGTGAAGAACATACGATGAAAGAGCAATAAGCAAGACATTCAAGTAAGAACTTCTATACACGAACAAGATTCTATTACATTTCAGCTTTCTAATTCTTTTGCTAATACCTGCATTCCAGCTGTTGAAATTCCTTCGCAAGTGTCCTTTGCAAATATCCGGTGCCCAAAATCATCCAAACTGCAGTAATTCTCTGACTCTCTGCATTGTTTCTCTGAGACAATAATGAGGGTAAGACATCTTACTAACCTGACAAGATATATCACGGCAGAAAAGTGCAAGGAATTGCATTTGATCTTTTGGAATGTGAGACCTTCTAATCCAATGAGAAACGACAATCAACCCGTCAATTTCAATCCTTCTTATCACGTGGTTACTTAAAATAGTGCTGGACCAACAATAACCACAGTTGTAGCCCAGCAAACCACCCTAACTCGAGTCAACTTCATCTAGTGGAAGAGCAGTGCTCTTAAGTATTTCCTGTTCCAGTCATGAAACAGAATTGGGAGAACCTGTAGGTATTATTGCGGGAAAGATCCTAGCTTTAGGGCTTTGGCGGGTGTCCGTTAATTCATATCCTCAGTTTTGGCAACTAATTTGGTCACATTGCCTTAAAGCATGAGTCAGCTGCTAAAGCACATGAAAATAATACTAGGCTTGACAATGTATCATCCCGACATTTAAAGTTGACCAATTTGCATTACAGCCTATATTCTAATTCTATGCTATATAAATGGATTGCACAACCTTGCAAAGGCCAACAAAATTAGCCGCTACAGTACATGAAGGCAATACTAAGCTGACCACACCTCGCAGTATCCAAGCCATTGTCTCACCAAATTTCAGGTACAAAGGATGAAAAGATGACCCACCACCCTTGGAATTATAAGGTCATCTTATGTCCAATTATGAATTCAGTCTCACTTCATGTCTCCCGATGATACATATGATTCTATAACTAGGGCTAGGCAAACCTTTTCTTATTCGCTGAATGAAATTCATTAAGAAACCAAGGCGGAGCAAAACTCACAGATAATTCACAAGAGAAAAAATTTATAATTCAATGGTTAGCATTTTATCAACAATAACGACATGTCACAACTCAGCCCAAGTAAAAGTACATGTGAACTGAAATGACTGGAAATAGTTTTAACTTGCAAGATATAAATACACACTACACAAGGAATTTCTACTGGAAGCTTTTTATACATGGTGATGCCAAACATTCCACTCGGTACCTCCATTAGGTATGAACAGCCAACAACTAAAGATTCTGGGGTTCCAGGTACCATATTGTAAAGGATGTATACTTAGGAACTAGAACAAGTTAGAGAAAATCACTCACGAATTAATGTCAATTTCTTCATCAGCCACAGATAGATCCAGAAGCTGCATAACAGGACCTTGATCATATAGAAACTTCAAGAACACAACAACAAGTTCACTGTCGAAATTCACAAGAGTATATAGGAATTCACCATAAGGAAGGACCCTGATTGACAAAAGTTAGACAAACCTATTGTATGCTAAAAGTTGATCACTTGGCTCTGACATCAGTCGCTTTATACGTTTCAGAAGCCAGCTGAAGAAATTTGCAAACTGAAAGAGAGACGAAAGCAAAAGCTTCAGCAGCATGCACACTATTAACCAATACAAAATGCTTTTGACCCCTAAGGCAAATACCACAAGCTTGCCACAGGCTCGAGAATTCCATAGGATCCTACCAATATTCTGACCTTGCTCTAGATCTGAGTGTTTACACTACAATTATTTTCATTTTGAAACAAGTAAGATTGCATTTCTTCAGGGTAGCATGTGAGAATTGAAAATGTACAAACAAACCTTAAGTTGTGCGAGGCATGGGAAGCAAAGATACAAAAAATTCATGCAATTTCTCTTTTTTGCTCCTTCAAAAGCATGACAATATTAACAAAATAACAATGTGTTATTGTCAGTATTCCGTAATGACCTTAATAGGTACTAAATGGACCTTTGTTCAACAAGTTCAAGTCATGTGTAAAGGCAAGTATTCCATAACGACCTTAACAGGTACTAAATGGACCTTTATTGAACAGGTTTAAGTCATGTGTAAAGGCCCCCCATCTAACAATGACTCTTTTACAGTATCGATAACAAGCTCATTTTTCAAATAATTAAATGCTATTTGACTTACATTTATATGTTATTCTGAGCACCCAATATCGTGTCTTATCCACAAATAGTTCAACTTCACGTCTAAAATTTAGGAATTTAGTGTCAGTAAAGATATGATACCACACATGATGAGAGACAGGCAAGATATTACAATAGTTGCAAACATAAAATATCAAGAAAGGTAGAGAAATCATACGAAAGATTTTAACAGGCATACCGGCTGCGCAACAGATGAGAGCACCCTTATGAATCACTCAACCTGTACATGCAGCATTCCAGCCTTTTCTACTGCATAATCCACAAATGTCTCATCGAAACCAATACCTAGATAACGAGAACGCCATCTTGAAAGACTCGTGAGCTCACCCATTCGAAAGCCAATAATGTCTACAGCAGGCTGCTAAGTAAATAACAATACTTCAATTACTTAACCCCATAAGTCAAATATCATCTCTTATTAAGGAAACTGACACATACTCATGAGGGATAAAAATAGCATTGAACACATAAGTCGCATGGTGGTACCATCAAAGCTAAAAGTTTACAAAAAAAAATGTTTTAGACAGTAAATGGTCATTACAAGCCATCTTCATCATCATCAACCACAGAAGCCTTTGATCAAATTAACATAGTGAATTCAACTCAAGTTGCTTGCTTTTGTGGGACATAGTATGATTCTTTTCGTTATCATTATGTGCTATTCATGCATTAGAATTAATGCAAGACAGTTTAAAATGGCATATAGGATACCGAAAAGTTTCCTCAGGAAACTTATGGAATTGCTTCCTCTGTTTTTATTTTCAACAAGTAAATGCACTAACAAGAGCTTATGCACAATATAACGGATTATTTCATAGTACGGTTGATTATGTCAAAAGACATTCTAGTTAATGTCTTGCTTGGTTCCAACCAAAAAACAAATTGTCTTGCTTGGCTCAAAAGTTCAGGTATATGACAGATGGCTATACCAACTCTACAAACATCAAGATTCATTCTTTGGGATAATCTATTATTAGCCTTGGACTAGGGATATCCTGGATTCAAACCAAATGAACATGGATCCATAGTCAGAAAAATTCGAATTGTAATTTTCTCAATTGATCCAAATAATTCACGATGCTTTTGCTTCTGCCCTGTTTGCTAGTTCACTCACAACCACACCACTAGGAGAAGAGCTTGTTCTTGCATTTAGCTTTTCTAGACCAATACGATCACCTTAATCAGCTAATGCAGACAGTTCTGTGAGATAAAATGTGTGGAACACAATGGTTGGACAAATTTTATCCCAAGTCATTAGCGTATGCATACGAAGGGATGCCCTATCAAGATGCTCCTTTTGCACCGTAAATTCACTCGTAAGGGTGCCTTAGAAACATCCAGTCATGAACTGCATGATGAGTGGAGAGCAAACTAAAACCTCACATTAGAAGGACCGCCATATAGGGTCCTTCATATAGCATTTCTCGACCTACACAATGACCTTTGGCATGCTATGAAATACCTGCATACATCAGTTTTTATTCAGTACCTCCAGCATTCCAGAATCAATCAAATGTCGAGAATCTTTATTTTTCTGCATAGGATGAAGGATCCTACCCAAAGACTAATGACAAATGATGCGCTTAGAAAGCCTTTTCGTCTATTTCCGTTATTGGCATGATAAGCAAAATCATTTTGCCAAAGCACACATTAACTTCCATGAACATCTCTCCTGGATTCCTTGAATCCAAGTAAGGATACAATCATGACAACGTCAAATGACAAGATCGTAAATCTTGAAAGATATTGCAAGTAGGAAATACAAATGAAATTTGGGCGGTAACTTACCTGCTTTATGTACCTTCGCAAGAAAATGTGGATCATTGCCACTATATTACTCATCCGAGTCATCCGTATACTCTGATCCATATTCGCTAGAAAATGTGGGCCACTTGTTCTAGTAATTTTGATAAATCCGCGTTCTAGGTAACTCTGGAATTGTTTTGAGTGACTTGCTTCCGGAGATATCCAGGCTTTCCAAAAACTCCAACGTATCGAGGCCTTGAATTTCGGCTAAGTTTATGCATTCAACGGCATTTAATATCTTCAGCCTCCCGGATTTTGGAAGGTCTAGCCTTTTAATGGAGGCGCACTCAGAGATATACAGGCTTTCCAAAAACTCCAACGTATCGAGGCCTTGAATTTCGGCTAAGTTTTCGCAGCCATAGGCATATAATTCCTTCAGCCTCCAGGATTTTGGAAGGTCTAGCTTTTCAATGGAGGCGCACCTAGAGATATCCAGGCTTTCCAAAAACTCCAACGTATCGAGGCCTTGAATTTCGGCTAAGTTTATGCATTCAACGGCATTTAATATATTCAGCCTCCCGGATTTTGGAAGGTCTAGCCTTTTAATGGAGGCGCACTCAGAGATAAACAGGATTTTCAAAAACTCCAACGTATCGAGGCCTTGAATTTCGGCTAAGTTTTCGCAGCCATAGGCATATAATACCTCCAGCCTCCCGGATTTTGGAAGGTCTAGCTTTTCAATGGAGGTGCACCCAATGATATTCAAGCTTTCCAAAAACTCCAATGTATCGAGGCCTTGAATTTCGGCTAATTTCTCGCACATTCTAGCATCTAATCTCTTCAGCCTCCCGGATTTTGGAAGGTCTAGCTTTTCAATGGAGGCGCACCTAGAGATATTCAGGCTTTCCAAAAACTCCAACGTATCGAGGCCTTGAATTTCGGCTAATTTGTTGCACTCTCCAGCATCTAATTTCTTCAGCCTCCCGGATTTTGAAAGGTCTAGCTTTTCAATGGAGGCGCACTCAGTGATATCCAGGCTTTCCAAAAACTCCAACCTATCGAGGCCTTGAATTTCGGCTAATTTCTTGCACCTTGAAGCATCTAATTTCTTCAGGCTCTTGGATTTTGGAAGGAGCAGCCTCTTAATTGAACCGCACCTCGAGACAGTCAAGCTTTCCAAATATATCAATTTGTCAAGTTCAAGACCTCGAACTTCAACTAGATTCTTGCAATTAATGACGTATAATTCCCTTAGATGGATAAACTGTGAAACGTCCACTGTTTTAATAAATCCACAGTCCCCAACGATCAAGAATTCCAACTCGAAGGGAGTGTTTAGGGATTGTGGTAATTCTGATTCTTCAATGTCTGTCGGTTGGGAGCATTCTGAATTCTTCGATAGTGTTGATGGAAGCACTTCGATGCACTCGAGAAAACTGCAGAACCAAACTCGTAGTCGCTTGAGATGGGTTAGGTGGGAAAGTGAGGGCAATTTGCGGCTTCCACAGGTGACGCTCAAATCTGTTAAGCTGGAAGGAAGGTTGTCCGGCAACGATTGGAGCTGTTTGCAGTAAACAAAATCAAGGCGTTGTAGAGAAGAAAGATTGCACATGCTCTCCGGCAATTCCCCTTTCAGTCTGCAAGCTGAAGCGCGTAACTCTCGGAGCTTTCTCAGCCTCCCAATACCCTTGGGTAATTCTTTTATACCGGTGTGAGAAATCTTCAGAATCTCCAGATTCTCCAGAGACTCTATTTCTGCTGGAAGCTTTCCAAGGGACTCACACCGCTTCAAATCCAAGCGAAGGAGGGCCTTCATGTCTCCAATTGAAGGATCGATCTGCTCCAGTCCCCGACATTTTTTGAGGATGAGAACCTCCAAATGCTTAAAAGCTGAGAGGAAGATCGTATTTCTCAAGCAGTGACAATCCGTGAGGTCGAGATATTTGAGCTTCTTTGCCATCTGGTAAAATAAAAATAATAATGATTGTCAAGGAATTAGTCTAGAGAGATTATGATTCAAAAGAAAGCATAAAAAGAAGAAAAAAAAAAGAAAGACTTGTTTATACCATGAAAGATTTCCATCCTTCCCATTTATCATTTATCTTGCTATCCGGCAATTCGAGTACAGCTAATTTCTTTAAGTGAAAATTGTTTACTTCAAAATTTATGGGACAATTTTTCCATTGGAGCAATATTAACTTCTCCATTGAGTCCTTAAAATCTTCATTGATACGTGCCCCTTTGATACTAAAGAATATACGTGGCCCTTCGATATGAAGAAATCTTAGATTCGTCAAATTCTTGAATCGTTTTGCTGTGCAAATGTCGCCATCTCGCTCAGCCATTTTGTAGAAGCCTTCTAAGCTGCCTTTACTCAGAATAATCGCCTCAATCTTGTCTGTTCCCTATAAGCAAGAATCAACGTCCATTAATGCTATATCCAGCTAAAGTAATCTAAATATTATTTGTGCATATTGCTACTGACGTGCATTAATGAGTTCAAGAGACTAGGAATGTGAAGACATCAATTCTTTACGCCAATAAACAATATTTATAAAAGGCCAACAAAGTGAAGGATGTCAACTTCCATTATAAATTTGGCCATTAGCATTCGGGTCTTAAAAAGAATTATGACGTAATGGCTCATATAGAGTAAAAACTTTACAAGTTGTAATCTTCTTCTTTCCGGTACTGTAGCTTCATTATCATACTAGTTGGGACATGCGTGCATCCGGTACTGTAGCTTCATTATCATACTAGTTGGGACATGCGTGCAGTGCGCGAAATTTGATCAAATTGCAATGTGCAAAACCAAAATTTTGATTTGATCAATTCTAATATAAATATATATTTTTCTCTATCTCTGTAATTTCATACTAATTTCATGTATATTACGCGATTGTGCTACTCACGCCATTAATAAAAAAAAAACATATACTCTTATTTTCCATCTGAGTAATAACTAATTGCAAGAAACTGAATATTGTGATAGTAGTTATATTAATATATTACGCACTTATTATTTTACTAATAGTAACTTGAAATATTGTTAACTAATTATTTTCTAATTATAAATAACAATGACAATAATATTAGTTATATTAATATTCTCCACAAATTATTATTTTGTCATAAATTTTAGTTAAACAATGGATTACATTTGATATATTCATAATCATAAATAATTTATTAGTTAGATTAATATTCTCTACAAATTATTATTTTATTATAACACTTAGTTTAACCATAGATTACAATTTGATATAATCATAATCATCAACAACTCAGTTGCTCAAGTATGATAAATATAATCAAAAAAATTAATTGTTGAAAGTGAAGCATTTTTTAAATGTGAAAATTGAAGCTATTCTTGGCCACACGCCTACATGGAATAGCTTTTCCTTGGTCTCCCCAGGAACAACTATTCCTGATTGTGAGAGAATAGTAATTTCGAATCTATTTTTGAACAAAATGAAGGAATAATTGCTTTATCAGAATAGATTGGAAATAGATTAGTTATTCCTGAAAACCAAATGCGTAGCAAACTAAAAAGAAGAACTTATATCACTTTTAGCAAAACCACTCTGATTTCACCTTATGATAGTGCCATGGATAAAGAGTGAAATGGAATCACGGAAAAATACTGAAATAATTATATAAAAATGTACCTTTTTAGTTGTAAAATTTAGGTAATACCATTATATTTGCATATGAAATGTACAGCATAGTCATTTTTCTTTTGGTTAGTTTAGCTTATTTTATCATGCAGTAAGACAGACATAATAATTAGACATTGGCTTTGAATTTGTTAATATATGAATTGGCTCTTACGATTATACCTAGGTCGCACTTGAAACCGTAAATAAGTACAAGTCTTTTGAGCAACCACTAGAGTCAAACCAAATGATGGATTAAAAGCAATAGAGTCGTAATTATGATTAATTTCACAAATGCAAATACAATCACATCCTTAATTATACAAAATAGAATTTTAAAGTACTCATCTCTTCGACCTTTTATGTAGAAAAAGTAAAACATTTCTCTTTTTAATGGTCATTGCATAAAATACGAACGAGGATACTAATATTAGAAGGTTCTATGTTCACTAGAGCAAGCACTAAGTAGAGGACCAACATTACTCTAACAATAGAACATGGACTAAGGGAACAAAAGAAGAGAAACGGTTACCTTATATCCCTTTAGCACTTCCAAGACTTCCTTGGAGTCCCATAACCTGCTACGGTTCCAAGGTTGTTGCTGGTTTTCCTCGCGAACGATTGTCCTACCAAGATCTCTTAATTGGTCATGCATTTGGAGCTCATGATTATCTCCAATTTTTATTAATGACATAAATCTCAATACTTCAATATTCTCCCCTGGAAAAAAGTCACAAGCATCCCACATGTAGAACACGATTCTCCTATCAGCGCCAATGAGAAAGCAAGCGATATCCAAAAAAATTTGTTTTTGTTCATATTCTAATGCTTCGTAACTTATCCTTAACTTTTCTTGCACTTCTATGCGAGGGACCTTTTTTAACTTCTTTATCATATCTCTCCATACTTTTGACTCTTTTCCGTACAATAATGAACCTAAAACCTCAAGGGATAAGGGAAGTCCTCCGGTGGTGGATACAACTTCACGAGTGAGGCCCTCAAATTTACTTGGAGGAAAGTCCATTCGAAACGCATGTTGGCTAAACAGAATCAAAGATTGATTGTCATCCAATTCCATAAGTTCATAGTTGTGGTCCACCCCAGCTAATTCAAGAATCCTCTTGTCTCTGGTGGTAATAATGATTCTACTTCCCAAAGAAAACCACTCATGATTACCAGCCAAACACTTCACCTGATTGACATTATCCACGTCATCAAGAAGAACGAGAACCTTTTTAGCTTTAAACATGAAGGAGATGAAGTTAGTCCCTTCATCCTCATTATCAACTTTAATTTCATGCTTCGATATATCATTGATTAACTTACTCTGTAAGTAATGTGTGCCATAATGCTTCCATGATTCCCTTATATCAGCAATGAAGCTATGATGCTCAAATTGATTGGAGAGCTTGTTGTAGATGGCTTTAGCAAGAGTAGTTTTACCAATGCCTCCCATTCCATGGATGCCAACAAACAGGGGGGCATGAGAATTATTATCCATAAGTTCCATAATGTTCTCCACATGACTACCTATTCCTACCAAATTCTTAGAAGTAACCAATTCAAACTTTTTCTTCAGTTCACTCAACACTTTTTGGACAACCAATTTCACCAACTCTGCTTCAGACCTGTCAAATGTGACAAGAGTTCAAATATGTGGAAACAATAATTTTATATTGTTTGTCTATTGAGAGCGCAGTAATAAAAAAATTCGGGGATAAATTTAAAAAATTTAAGAATCGTTTTTGTCACACCTTCATAGTATCTAATATGCTAAGACTAAAGTTGAGAAATGCTTGTGGTTGTTTCACGTGGCGTGCCCCATTCCACTATTACTCTGACATAATTTATTAAGCTAGAATAAACTTGAGGGTATCACTTGTGAATCTTGAACACTGTATATGCTATGGATTTGAACCAAATTTTAAACTTGTTGTTTATTAAAGATATTAGGGATGACGTAGATGTGACTTTTGAAAATTTTGCAGAGCATTTGAATAAGCCAACCCAATAAGCCAGCCCAGAATGAGAGCCGGCCATCAATCAATAAACAAGCCATATCGTTTGATGCAAGATGATTTTGGGCCTATAGTACCAATCCAAAAAGCTGTTCAGAGTATGATATTGTGAACTACCTGAATGCAATTGAAGGGATTTCTTCTTTTTTGTGCAATTCTTCACGCTTGCAAGTTTCTACTCGTGTTGTGAATTTTAGTATCATTCTAGATTGGTGTTCTTATCAATTTTCATTGCCTCTAGGGATGATAACATATAATACCTTATTTTTCTTTTGAATCTATGTTCTATGATTTTAATTGATCTACTATTGTGTTTATAGGGAAGCTGAAGAATAATTTTTACCCAAAATAAGAACATTGATTCAATATGTGCAGGTGCATGAGATAGAAATTGCTTGTCGAAGACAGGAAATGCGTTGAAAAAATTTAAACAAACATATATTAAAAATAATATTTTTTTCTTTTTTATATTTACCATCGTCATATATAACCAATGAAACATTTCTTTTGTAAAAATAATTTTAATAGCAACTAATCAACGACATTAATGATTTAATAAATGTAACTTTGGGAAGATAAAGAATTATGGCTTTGACAATCATTGTGATGGTATATGATGTTATGAGCTCTAATCACCGATAAGTTGTACTATTAATCTCAAATAAATATTTAATTAGAAAAGTTTGAGACGAAGATTAATGCAACCCACAACATAAACAAGAAAAAAAATGGCACAATGTTACCAAATCTTTGGATATAAGTGTAAAAATTCATTCAAAAAATATTTTTATTCAAGTGAATGGGAACACAACAATAAAATCTATAATTAGATTGGTCAATATCATTAAAGCAAAAAACTAAAATAAACAATAATTTATAGAACTCGTGTATTGCAGGATCTTACTGCCAATAGATCTTTCTGGTTATATATATATATATATATATAACGAAAATGAAGCAGGTGAGGATCAGAACAACCAGTAAGCACCCAAACATATTAAAAGAAAGTAGAGAATGTCTTGGTGAGAAATTTTACCAATTGGCTTCGTATCCTTTCAAGTTGCTGACTTCAAGGAGTGCTTGCTTCCATTTGTCCAAAATCGTTTGGTCGAAAGACCTCTTAAGCAAACGCGTCTCACGCTTATGAAATGCCTCTCCAAAACTCCCGCTTTGATATTTCACGTCAGCTGGTTTCACTTTATAGAATATAGGAAACACTATCTGCCCATTATTTTTCTTGCGCTCCATTATTTGAACCAGTTCATCCAGGCACCAACTGCTTGTACCATAAGTCTCGGAGAGAATGGGGATCAGGATCTTACTGGTCGTGATGGCTGCCATTAGCTTTGGTCCGATGTTCTCGCCTTGGTAGAGCTCGTCATCGTCTCTGAAAGCAACAATTCCGGCTTTGAGGAGCCCATGGTAGAGGTGATCGGTGAAGCCATGTCGAGTATCTGAGCCTCTAAAACTCAAGAACACCTCGTAGCGGCTTTCAGTCAACGCGGTCAACGAACTAGATGCATCGTTATCAGTTTTGGTCGGAGACAAACTAGATCCACCAGAATTAGTTTTTGTTGGCACAGTCATCGAACCGGATGCGCCAGTATCAACATCTTCTGCATTTCTTCTCGCACTAGTTTTCTTCTTATTGAGAAAATAGAATGCAAGCCCGGGGAGAAGGATCAGTGCCACGAGCTCGGCGAAAGAATGCCCAAAAATGAGACGATGCATTTCGTCTTTGCTCTGACTCTGCCCTTGATTTTCGCTCTCAAATCTGACGGAGAAAAAACCAGAATGACTCTGCCCTTGATTTCGTCAAGCGTGTCAACCACGTGCTTAGAGCCGTTGCCTTCGCGTGGCTGAAATCTCAATGCACAAGAGAATCCCAAGATAAAAAGTGGAGAGAGAGAGACTTGGGACGAGTTTTCGTTGAACTTAGTCCACTGCTTGCACCGTTCAATTTTCCTTTTGCTTTTGTTAATTTATTTTCCGTCAGAAAAGGTATTTTTTGTTAAATATATTTAAGCTCTTGGTCTCACTTAGAAATATACCCCTCTCACTTTGAGCTTATTAAATATTATCCAGTCAAACCGATAAACTTCATTTCAATACCGAAATATCGTATTATTAACGATCACTTATTCTAAAAAATTATGTTGTTAACGCGTGTTGAGGATGATAAAAAAAATTATTAACATGCTATATATATATATATATATTCAGTTTTTACCCAAGCACAATGAGAAGAATTTCTTTTTTGCTCTGCCATAAAATCTCCTTCAAATCTCGTAAATAAATCAAAATACCTTTTTTCTTTTGCTTTATTATATTTATATTTCTTTATTGGTTGGACTTATCTAATCCAACCGGTTGGCGCGCACCAATAATTAGAATTTGCCAAGCTAGACATAAAATAGTAATTCGTTGACCGGGACCACTAACCATGTATTTATAGTCGATGCCTTCACGTGGTGGAAGTTTCAATGCACAGGAGAATCCAAGGCGATTCTGCCCAGGAAGAAGAAGAATTCATGTGAGCAAGTTTCGATGCAGAAGCAATGAAAAAAAAATAAAACCAAAAATAAAAAAACAAGTGGTCGTAATGTCAGGACAACCACTACACTGTTGAACTTTCCTTTTCTTTTGTTAATTTATTTTTGATCAGAAAAGTCATTTTTATTGAATATATTTAAGCTCCTGATCCCACTTAAAAATTTACCTCTCTCACTTTGAGCCAGTTAAGTATTAATGTATCAAATCAATAAACTTCATTTCACTACTAAAATGTTGTATTATTAATTATCACTTATCCTAAAATCTACCAAATACATAAAGCCTTCGGACGATTATAAATCCAAAGAAAGTTAAGAGGATAACCCTAGCAGCTTGATATCCTGAGCCGAGGGCCCTACAGGCCTTGCGATGCTTCTTCCTAAAATCTTCAGTGCACTTCTCCCTCTATTATTTCTAGGACAAACCGAAAAGCACCCCGGAGCATTAAATTAGACCCATAATAAACAAATCGACATAACTTCCGGTGACATGTATTTTTTTTTTCTAAATATATATGATAGGACATGGACAGTGACTTGCAATGCAGAAACATGCTGATAGATAGACCACCGATATATTTTAGTATTTCTTGGAATAATGAAACGGCGGCCAATGTTGAATAAGAAACCGTAAGAGGGTAGATATTTCTATAGCCCTTATTGCACGTCTTTTGAGGTGGAGACTACTTTGAATGCATCAAAGCTCAATATGTTTGTCTGTCCAATATTTTTGTCTTTTCTCTTGTTTAATTTCTTTTCCACGACAACTCTTTCTGATTCCTTTCTTGACCTTTGCACATTTCTTATCTTCCTCGCTCCAAATCCCTGATCTTTCTTCCCCTTGTCGGCGCTTCTTCCCTCACATGCCTGCAGAACCCAAACCCCACGCCTGTGGTCATTCTTGGCAGCCGACGAGCCACCCTCCTCAAATGAGTTGGTTGAGTCCACCACTCGTCTCTCTACTTAATTATCGAATTACCAATTAATTTTTTTTAGATGTTAACTTATTGATTTCATTTAGTCAAATTTATTTATTTATTTCACAATTTCTTATTTAACCCTGAGCCAAATTAATAAATCAAAATTTACAATTTTTTCGGCAATTGTTTTTTCTTGGTTTAGTTTAGCAATTGCTCTAACATTTTGCCCTTCTTCTTGACTTGGTCAAAAAGTGGGCTTTAAAAAAATAAAAAGAAAAAGAAAAAGAAGAGATATAAAGGGAAAAGGGAGAGCATGCACCAGGAGAGAAAGGAAAAGAAAGGGAAAAGAAGAGGAAGTCTCCAACGGTGGTCACCTTTGCATGCCCTTTTCTTTAAAGATAAAATGATTTTTCTCACTCTGATTTTAACTTGAACAAAAGTTATTCAACTTCAAAACAGTGCCGAACTTGATTTCGTTTTTGGGTTTGAAATTGAAACGATGGAGGAATTTAACCGCAAGGAGTAAAATTCTTGGAAATTAAAAGTGCTAAGGAAAAGTAAACTTGGAGAAAATATAAATGATTCGACAGTAGATTAAACAAACTTATTTTAAAATTGCATCTTTTTATTCTATGTCGCTTCCTCACGCGTGCCCCGACGATTCTCTCTCTCTTCACTTTTTCTTTTCACCTCCTCCACTAGAATTGCCTCCTCTGTTCTTCTTTTTCTTTCTTCTCTTCTGCCGACCACTTCTCGCTTTTTCTTTATTAAAGTTTTCTCTCTTTTGCCGACCACAACCCCCTCTCTCTCTCTCTGTATTTCTCTTTCTTGGCTGTAAAGAAAAGCTCCATCCTTTTCTTTTTCGAGCTTTCTTTGGCAATGGTTATATGCCGAGAATCCTCTGCTTTTTTTATGCCCTGATTTTCTTGTCTTCTTTGGCCGTGAATTCCGGTCCCTAAATGCCGAAATTGCTCTCATGTGAAGATGGAAACTGCTCTCTCTTGACCTCGTCCTCAAAGTTCTTGTCAGCAATTCGGATCACATGTGAGATTGGACATAAAATTTAAGAATTTTTTTGACGAAAAAATTGAGATTTCCACCACGTGGCCTTCACGTGGCGGAAATCTAATTGCACAAGAGAATCCCAGGCGATACCTCTCCAGTAAGAAGTAATAAAAACGGTAGATTTGTTGGGAAGATGGAAAGTGGAGAGAGAGAGAGAGACTTGGGACGAGTCGTCCTTGAACTTAGTCCCACTGCTTGCACCGTTCAAACTTTCCTTTTGCTTTTGTTAATTCATTTTCCATCAGAAAAGTCATTTTTGTTGAATATATTTAAGCTCTTAATCCCACTTAGGGATTTAACCCCTCTCACTTTAAGCCTATTAAATATTAACGCATGTCGAGGATCATAAAAAATTATCAACATACCATCTGTATAATATATATATATATATATATATATATGTTCATTTTGTACTTGAGCATAGTGAGAAGAATTTCTTTTTTACTCCGTTTCTACCTTAATTTCTCCTTCAAATATCAGAAATAAATCAAAATACCTTTTCGCTTTTGCTTTTACTTCATTATTTATATTTATTTATTTATAGGTTTGATTTAAGGCACGTACCAATAATTCAAACTTGCCAAACTAGATAAGTAAATCCTGGACCGGGACCACTAACCATGCGTTCATGGTCGTTGGCTTCATGCGGTGGAAGTTTCAATGCACAGAAGAATCCAAGACGACCCCGCCCAGGAAGAAGAAAACATGTGAGCAAGTTTTGATGCAGAAGCAATGAAAAAAAAATAAAACCAAATAATAAAAAACAATTGCTGGTATTGGTATCTGTGGACAAGTGATCATAATTGATAAATACATTCAAAGCCTCAGGATGGTTGCTGCAACGTTGAACTTTCCTTTTTTTTTAAATTTATTTTTCATCAGAAAAGGTGTTTTGTTGAATAAATTTTAAACCCTTGATCTCACTTAGGAATTTAGCCCTCTCACTTTGAGACTATTAAATATTGCCGTATCAAACCGATAAACTTCATTTCACTATTGAGATGTTGCATTATTAGCGATCGCTTATCCTAAAATCTGTCATATATAGAGCCTTCGAACAATTAACAGAAAGGGCCCTATAGGCTCCACGATGCTTCCTAAATTGCAATATTAGAATTTTCGGTGTGCTTCTCCCTTTATTTTTTCTTGGACGAACCAATGAGCAGCCAATGTTGAAAAATAATCGGTCAGAGGGTAGATATTTCTATAGCCCTTACTACACGTCGTTTAAGGTGGAAATCACTTTGAAAAGCATCAATGCTCAATATTTTTGTCTTTCCTCTTGTTTAACTTTTCGACTTTTCGAAAAAACACCAATGCTCAATAGGTATTTCTATAGCCTTTATTTTTGACTTTTTGACTCCAACGACAACTCTCTGTATTTCCTTCCTTGACCTTTGCACATTTCTTATCTTCCTCGCTCCAAATCCCTGATCTTTCTTCCTCCTTGTTGTCGCTTCTTCCCTCACATGCTTGCAGAACCCAAACCCCACCCTTGTGGTCATTCTTGGCGGCCGACTAGCCACCCTCCTCAAAATCACCTGCAAGTTCGGGAGTGATGGATGCATTGATATCAACAATGATCATAGAATCTCGTCTTCGGTCCTGGAATCAGGACCTATTTCTCTGAAAGAGCAACTATGTAGTGGTCAAGCCTTAATGCGAATTAAGTTTATATGGTGGTGATTAATATGAACCTATATAGGAGTGCTCCTCATAGTTAATGCATCTCCATTAATAATAAAAATCATGTTGAAGCTACTATTTAGGAATGCTCAACTCTATAATATACCTGGTTTGTCAAAAAATGAAATTAGTTGGAAGAAGAAATTACAATTGACAAGCACTGATTTGCAAAATAATTCGTAGGATGAATAAAATATTTAAGAGATTAGTTTCTTTTTCAACACAAAATATTGTAATAATTAATACAAAAATTCATCACCTTCCTTACCAAAAAAAAAAAAAATTCATGACCTTGAATCTCTCTCACATACGTGGCCCCATCCACCGCCCAATAATTTTCTTTGTCTTGGGGCAAGAAGAATTCCAAGTCAACATAAGCGCGCACCACGTAATTACTTGGAAAACTACTTTTATTCTAAGTCAACATGCCTTGGGAAAAACATATTGGCTCAAGTCCGCCACAGCTTTGACCCAAAAAAAAAAAAAGTCTGCCACAGCGTTAAGTACTAGGCACTTAATAAAAACATATCGAAAGTTAGCCATTTGCCAATTGATAAAAAGATGGAGCCGAATATATCAATATTGATGTAGAGATACAGAATTTAATTTTATCTTGAAAATTTCAAAAGTGCATAAGGCAGCATGTATCCAAATGTCTCAACCCTCAAAAAAAGAAAAGAAAAAAACTAATACACAAAAAAAGGGGTTGAACGTCGTATTGCTCAAGCTGAACATCCTTGGATTTGAGAGGAACATAATCTCCGAGATAGATGAAAATATTACATGGTAATTTTCCGGTCGATCTTGGTCAAACCTCGGGTGAAAAGTTAGGTGTTTATGATGATGATTAATATGAACCTAATGATAACTGGATAAGGAAGGAGAACATGGAAGTGTTGGGTATGAGAGCTGAGGAGGAAAAACAAAATCTTGCTAGATCAGGGCGAAAGATGAAAGGCAGTGAATCAAGCAAATCCTACGTGGTGATAAATAAATCAACACCGGTGAATCAAGCAAACCAACCCCAAAGCCAAATTAATAAATCAAAATTTTCAATAGTTCCAGCAAATGTTTTTGCTTGGTTTAGTTTAGCGATTGCAAACTTCCATAAACACATATAGTTTGTCATATGTGTTAATTCAGATATTTATATTATTGAATGGAGCCGATACGTGCAATGTCAGTTCATTTATATTAAATTTAATTTGATATAATACTTAAACATAAATGCATGCGGTTCCTCTTAAATAACAAGGGGTAGCTATGTTAATAAAAATGCTAAATAGGTTTTACTTACCACCCAAAATGTACCTAAGCGTATTATTCTCATCCAAAACTTCATTTAATATAAATATAATCCTATTGAATAATGAGGGGTAGCTATCTTTTATAAATATGTTAACTAGGTTGTACTTTCTGCTCAAAATATATTTAAACTTATTAATATTGTTATCAACTTGGTTGGTGCAAGACGTGAAGCAATTTGTACGTTCAATATTGAGTCCATCCATTTAGATATTATTTATTACATTCTTTTAATTTAGTTACCCAATAAAACAAATGCTCTTCAGATATTGAATCAACTCCAATCAAAAGATTTGCATCAGGAATTGAGTGAAATGTTAAAAAATCAATGCATGAATTACTTCATTTTACAATAGAACGAAGCTTTATTATGATATCCACTTGTAACAATGCAAGCTAAAAGAATTATCAATGCAATTTGTATACCCACAATCTAAACTAAAATGTCAATACGCGAATTGTGGAGTGTCAAAAAAAGAAAGAAAGAGTGCTCGTGCATTTATTTTTTATTTTTTGGTCAAAGTGCTCGTGCGTTTCTATAGCATTTCTTGGACTAGCCAAAGAGCAACCAATGTTGAATAAGAATCAGTCAGAGGGTAAATATTTCTATAGCCCTTACCACACATCTTTTAAGGCGGAGACCATCAATGCTCAATATTTTTATCTTTCCTCTTGTTTAATTTCTTTTCCAAGTCAGACTTTTCAACTCCAACGACAACTCTCTCTCTAGTTCCTTTCTTGACCTATGCACATTTCTTATCTTCCTCGCTCCAAGTACCTGATCTTTCTTCCCCTTGTTGTCGCTTCTTCCCTCACATGCCTGCAGAACCCAAACCCCACGCTGGTGGTCATTCTCGGCGGCCAATGAGCTGCCCTCCTCAAAATCACCTGCGAGTTCGGGAGTGACGGATGCATCGATATCAGTGATGATCCATCTCGTCTTTGGTCTGGAGATCAAGGCCTATTCCTCTGAAAGAGCGACTACGTAGTGGTCAAGCCTTAATACGTATTTGGTGTATATGGTGGTGATTAATATGTACCTATTTAGAAGTGCTCCTCGTAGTTAATGCATCTCCGTTAAAAATAAAAATCATGCTAAATCTACTATTTAGGAAAGCTCAACTCTATAATATACCCGGTTTGTCAGAAAATGAAATTAGTTGGAAGAAGAAATTAAAATTGACAAACACTAATTTGCAAAATAATTCGTAGGATGAATAAAATATTTAAGAGATTAGTTTCTTTTTCAACACAAAATAGTAATAATTAATAGGAAAAATTCATCACCTTGTATCTCTCTCACGTATGTGGCCTCATCCACTGCCCAATATTTTTCTCTGTATTGGGACAAGAAGCATCCACAGTCAACATAAGTGCGCGCACCACGTAATTACTTGGAAGACTCTTTTTATTCTAAGTCAACACGCCTCGGGAAAAACATATCAGCCCATATCCGCCAAAACGTTAAGCACTAGGCACAAAAATCAATAGGCGAACAGCTTCATTATTGCATATTTATATAAATTGATGAAAACATATCTAAGTTAGCCATTTGCCAATTGATAAAAAAGATTAAGTCGAATATATCAAAATTGATGTAGAGATACAGAATTCAATTTTATCTTGAACATTTCTAAAGTGTGTAAGGCAGCATGTATCAAAATGTCTCATCCCTCAAAAAAAAAAAAAACTAACACGCACGAAAAAAAAGGGGTCAGACGTCGTATTGCTCAAGCTAAACATCCTTGGATTCGAGAGGAACACACTCTCCAAGATAGATGAAAAAATTATGTAGTAATTTTCCGGTTGATCTTGGTCAAACCTTAAGTGAAAAATTAGGTGTTTATGACAAAGGACAACAAGAAAGTGCAGGGTGTGAGAGCTAAGGAGGAAAAACAAAATCATGCTAGATCAGGGCGAAAGATGAGAGACAGTAAATCCAAGCGAATCCAATGGGGTGATAAGTTTTTTGTCCATTACTTATTTTGAATGAGTGGCTGGGCCCATTACTCTTCTCTCTACTTCATTGTCAATTTACCAATTAATCATTTAAACAAATTCATTGATTTCACAATTTCCTAAGCAACCCAAAGCCAAATTAATAAATAAAAATTTTCAATTGTTTCCGGCAAATGTTTTTGCTTGGTTTAGTTTAGCTATTGCAAACTTCCATAAACACCTATAGTTTGTCATATGTGTAAATTCAAATAGTTATATTATTGAATGAAGTTAATACATGCAGTCACGGTTCATTTAGATTAAATTTAACTTTATATAATATTTAAACATAAATGCACGCGTTTCCTCTTAAATAACAAGGAGTAGCCATGTTAATAAAAATGCTAAATAGGTTTTACTTACCAACCAAAATACCTAAGCATATTATTCTCATCCAACAATTCATTTAATATAGATCAACTCCTATTAAATAACGAGGGGTTGCTATCTTTTAACATACGGTTACATTTACCACTCAAAATAAATCTAAGCATATTAATATTGTTATTCAGCTTGGTTGGTGCAAGATGTGAAGCAAGTTGTATGCCCAATAGTGAGTCCATCCATTTACATAACATTCAATGCATTTTTTTTTATTTAGTTACTCAATAAAACAAAGCTCTTCAGAAGTTGAATAAACTCCAGCAAAAAAATTTGTATTAAGAATTGAGTGAAATGTTAAAAATCCAGTGCATTAATTACTTCATTTTACAATAAAAAGGAACTTATTCTGATATCCACTTGTAACAATGCAAGCTAAAAGAATTATCAATGCTATTTATATACCAACAATCCAAACTAAAATGTCAATAATTGAATTGTGGAGTGTAAAAAGCAAAAAAAAGGAGCGCACGTGCATTTCACGAGCACTCTTTTTATAGTCTCTAAGGCAGGCTAACCTCGAGCCAAACAACAAAAAGCTTCAGATAATTGTTCTGTATCAAAGTTGGATGGGTGTCATCTCGGAAGTGACCAACAGAAGTGAAATCAAGCTTTGGAAATGGCATAAACATCTAGAACTTTTACAAGCATAACTTCACCTAGTATAGTTGTTTACTTAACCAGCCCATTACTTTCCAAGTGATACTGATTAACTGCCAGTCTGCAGTCAAATCCATTGATTAAGAAAAACCGCTGCATGAGAAGCAAGAACAAGGAAAGGACTCATCAACTGAATCTGATAGGCCATACTGCCAAATATTTAATTTAAACAGATAAGACACTTACAATATTTCCGATTGGAAAGACACCAAATATACTGAAGCACAAAACCCCATCTTTATCTCCACTGCAAAGGATATTGAAACATTGATTTGAAGAATTTGAGAGCTCTACAAATGAATCTTGACCAACGTCAGTTAAACCAGCATCTCTAGGTACTAGTCCAGGCATGCGAGGAACTCTTGGAGCTGGAGGGAAGAATCGAGTAGTGCGATCTTCAAATGCCAAAGAGTTACCAGAAGCGTTCTATAAAACAAATGAATAATTACTTTCCAGTTGGAAAATAAAAAGATGAAAAAAATATGAGATTAAAGCTAAGGAGCCAAACAAATCAACAAGTTACGGATGACACCAAACATACACTTTCTCTTCCATAAACCCATACTAAAGCTGTTGGACTGTGAAATAAGATTCCAAGTTTGGAAAATAAGTATTTAAGAAAACTAGACTAAACTAACTACTTAACTGCAAACGAAGCATTATGAAAGGTGTGAGCCATAAAATATCCGCTATTGGTAATAAAGATCATGAAGTCATATCATATTTTAAGTTGAAAGATGCATACTCTATTCAGTTAGGCATCCTCCTCCCAGTTGAGACACACCACAGCTGCCATATGGGACTTCAAGCTTATTAACAGTTTTCCATTCTGCTTAATATTTATACCCAAGTTAGAATGATTATACCACAATATGCATAACTGCTGCGAGCACTAGCATATCAAAAGCAGCACACTGCATATCCATAGTTCCATAAAGACAGCTACTTTGGTAAGATAACATTCATTATGTACAAACAAACTCTCCTCTCAGCAAAATGTAATCCATGAAGTATTAATAATAAATTGGTAGAAATCTCAAAGAAACAGAATTGCAGCAGCCTCAGCCAAGTTCTCAGCCATTCTACTCATGACCAAGCAGCTAAAGCTTAATAAAAACATAACTAGTTATTTACAAACTTTTCCACCCACAAGAATAATTAAGGCAGATACAAATCATATCATTTTAGGAGTCGCCTAAATAATTACCTTCCTAATTTGACTGAACTGAACATATTTTACTAATAATTGAAAGAAGCTATTAATTTTGATGAAAATGAGCATGTTACAGATGAATGCTTCTATATGAAACCATCCACTTAGACCATAGATTCTCACAACGAGCTGGACCCCAGTAAACACTATGCTGCAATTTGTCGTTGACAATTGAAAAAGTTTCAATCATTGATGAAAGCATTAGCAGCGAGGTGAAATTTTGTCCCACACAAGAATGCAACTGAGCACATCAATCAGATTCAAGTCCTAAAGTATATAAATCTATTGAATGAGTATATTAATTCTGTATGATATGAGATTAAAGTAATTCACCGCTGATTTCACCAATTAGATATGAGTCAATCAATTTCCTTGATTCATAATTGAACTTATGCATCAAACACTGTAACATCAAAAACATTTCATGGCTTTGATGTAGGACTATGAGTCCCACAATAAAGAATAAATATTTAGGCAGCACATGTAAAACTGCCTAAGCATCACACCAAAGATGAATTGCATCACACAATCTGCAAAGCAAACACTTGCCAATTTCAATATCAACTCTATGAAAAGTAAAAATTACAACTATATTTGTAGACTCTCTAAAAGTTCTACTCCTAGTGGAAATAGGAAACCTCTAAACAAGAAACATAATTGGAGTATATGTAAGATCCTACTACTCGAGCCTAAAAAAAAAAAGGAAACTTCGTAAAATCCTAATACTACTCAAATCCAAGTTGATAATTTTAGTGATTTAACTTCAAGAAGAATCCTGATCCTTGTTTGAGCTTCAAAGTCAATCTTCAGCAAAAACTTGGTAGTCATCTTGCATGATTTTGTTGGTTGCATCAGGCTTAGTGGATGGTTTGATTGTCTTATACTAAATTCTATGAATGGGAATCCAATTACAATACTATGTACACGATCTTTGTGTCCTCGCAGTCAAATGGGTACATATTTGACAAAAGAAAAATAATTTGTATCAATATCTCATGTCTGGAAATAATAACATTAGTCGACTTTGAAGTATCTTTATCATTAGTTATAACCTACCAATAAAAATAACACCATACTTTACAATTAATTTACATCTGTCATGCAATACCAATCTCAAACATTATATCAGATTTCATGATTCCATTAGATGAAATTCATGATCCACAATCCATAGATTTAATTTTTTGTTTCTTGACTCATATTTCCATGTGACAACTAAGGGTAACCCTAAATGGTTATCATGTCATATCAAAATTGTGGCTACCTACTTAACAGTTAACACAATTGATAAACGAATATTGTTCCAAGTTCAAAGTTCAGACCGCGAAACTGTAATCTATCTATCTAAACAATAGTGCCAACTTGATTAACAAGCTGACCTATCACGACCTGCTTATATTTATTTCATTAAGTTCTCTAATAATAATCATACATGAATTTTGTTTCCATAGTGGTTACAATTTGATCACACCATATAAATATAACTTTTCATGTAAACCTAGGATTTTGTAAGCTTACAACTAGTTTCTTTTCAAACTTATTTGACATTGATGACAATATGCATATTGTACATATGCCATGTTGGTCATGTTAGGATTGGAATGACCCATTCAATTCAATCTAATTAGTTAAACGGGTTATTAATCTCTTGTAATTTGTTGACCTTTTTAACAAAAGGGTCATGTTCGAACATAAATTTTTGTTAATCTTATCCTGCTCAGATTGATGTATCTAGCAATCCATTGTTAACTTGACATTGACAGACATGACCAATAAAATTGGATTGCCATCTCCATTAGCATCTGAATGTTCGCTGAGCAAGTTTGCTGTTTGCATTGCATCATGCAGATTTTGAGCAATTCAGAATCTTTCCCACAAGAGATCAGAGAAGAACACGTTCTGATGATAAAGGACTGTTGCAGGAGGAATTTCTAGTTGAGAAGTAATGAGGGTAACATTCAAGTAACAACATAGAAAACTTACTTCGACATCATGCAGTGAAATTGTTCAGTCTTCAAGTCCCAAGACAACAACCTTGTCATCAGGATGCCAACATAATGATGTTATACATTTACCTGGAGTAGATGAGAATGATTAAGAAGAGCTAGCATTGATGACACACATTGAAAGGTGCAAAGAAAGTGAGTTCATTATAAACAAAAAAGAACACAGAGAGAGAGAGAGAGAGAGAGAGAGAGAGAGAGAGAGAGAGAGAGAGAGAGAGAGAGAGAGAGAATGAATAATCTCTTCCCAAAAAATTAACAGAAGAAGAGGAGAAATAGAGCACATACATTAACCAACAAAATGCTAATCAAATTTTTTGAAGTGAGGCAAAACGTCATAACTGTACAAAATAACTGAGAGGGATATCGGTCACTTGATAGAGGATTTCTTTGGGCTAGTAGGTCATCCAAAGCGAGGGAATCTATATCTTGTTGGCAGGCTCCAATCCAATAACTGAATCAAAAAATTTTTTTTGTTCAACCGTGGAACCTCAAGTGTGGATTGGATGCACGAAAAGCTTACTTCAGGCGAGGACTACAACTGTACTAGTATTTAAAACTTAGTCTTAACAGAACCATTCAAGGATTGGCTCAAGTACTATATTGCACTCATAATGTTCTCAATATCCAGAAGACAATATGACGAGGGAAGCATTCAGATGTTTCTGGAGAAAAAATATCCTCCCTAAATTTTTCCAGTGAGAATTGATAGCAAGAACTAGCAAGGCTAGGCATCTAATCCTAAGCTCTTACGAATTCGTATTACCAAAAGATGAAGTCATATAGGATCTTAAAATACTTGGATACAGCTCCCCTTACCCTCCTAGTCTCTTTGCTTTCTCCAATTCCTCCCTCTGTCCCTCTCGACCAGATTGTTGTACAAGTACACAGCATAGCTCAAGATATATCCTACTCAAAAGTTCAACTCCCGCCAGCGAACTTGATTAATCAAAATGATGTGATGAAATGCCCTTCTGTAATGAGAAGAAGATTAATTAAACTTCAACCAATGCAAAATGTGAGAAACTTTCCGCCTATAGTCTATATTTCAGTATCCACTAAATCTCTCCTTGTAGGGCACACAGTCAGTAAAAGAAGCGGAGCCAGCAATAAAATTACATTGTGAGAGTCACCATCAGAAATCTAAGAAGATCCTTTTAGATGCCTGATGAACATTTAGATGGCGTTCTGCAGGGACTAAACCTGCGAACTCCAAGTGGGCATCAAGCATTTCTGCATCTGACATATCAAACCTATCTAGCATAAATGACGTCCCCTCCAATTCATGTTCTTTAATTTCATGGACGCTTTGAATGGTGTACCGAAAAGGGTAACAACTCCTTAGTTCTCTAGATCTCCACTCGCATCTTCGTTTCTGTGTAAAAAGACCAACTCCTCAGTTCGATGTCACCTTTTCATTTAGACTCCCAAGCGCTTCATACCTCTATATTCGTCCAATTCTCCATCAAACGCAATTCAAGCTAGATCAGCAATTACAGTGGTTTCTATGGCGAAAAAGGAAGCGGAACACATTTAGGAAAAGCAAAAGAAGTAAAAAGAACTTTCTCGACAACATCTTTATCTCCACTACAAAGGATATAGAACATTGCTTTGAAGAATTTCAGAGCTCAACAAATGAATCTGGACCATCATCAGTTAAACCAGCACCTCTGGGCACTAGTCCAGGCGTGCGAGGAACTCTTGGAGCTGGAGGGAAATATCGAATAGTGTGATCTTCAAATGCCAAAGAGTTGCCAGAAGCGTTCTATAAAACAAATGAATAATTACCATCCAATTCGAAAATAAAACGATGAAAAAATATGAGATTAAAGCTAAGGAGCCAAACAAATCAACAAGTTGCAGATGACACCAAACATATGCTTTCAAAAAAATTTCCATACACCCATACTAAAGCTGTTGGACTATGAAATAAGAATCTAAGTTTGAAAAAGAAGTTTTTAAGAAAACAAGACTAAAAGAACTACTTAACTGCAAATGAAGCATTATGACAGGTGTGAGCCATAAAATACTCGCTATTGGTTATAAAGATCACAAAGTGGTATCAACTTTTAAGTTGAAAGATTCATACACTATTCACTTGGGCATCCTCCTCCCAGTTGAGACACACCACAGCTGCCACGTGGGACTTTAAGCTTCTAAACAGTTTCCATTCTGCGTAATATTTATACCATGTTAAAAATGATTATACCACAGTGTGCATAACTACTGCAAGCACTAGCATATTAAAAGCAGCACCCTCATATCCATAGTTCCACAAAGACAGCTACTTTCGTAAGATAACATTAATTATGTACAAGCAATCTCTCTTCTCAGTAAAATGTAATCCATGAAGTGGACGATTAGCAATAAACTGGTAGAAATCTCAAAGAAACAGAATTGCAGCAGCCTCAGGCATTCTACTCATGACCAAGCAACTGTAGCTTAATAAAACATAACCAGTTATTTAAAAACTTTTCCACCCACAAGCATAATTGAGGCACATACAAATCCTATCATTTAAGTCTCACCTAAATAATTACTTCCTAATTTGACTGAACTGAACATATTTTACTAATAATTGAGAGAAGCTATCAATTTTGATGAAAATGAGCATGTCTCAGATGAATGCTTCTATATGATGCCATCCACTTGACCATAGATTCTCACAATGAGCTGGACCCCAGTAAACACTATGCTGTAATTTGTTGTTGACAACTGAAATAGTTACAATCATTGATGACAACACTAGAAGCAACGTCAATATTTTGTCCTACACAAGAATGCAATTGAGCACATCAACCAGATTCAACTCCTAAAATATATAAATCTATTTAATGAGTATATTAATTCTGTATGATATGTCATTAAAGTGATTCACTGTTCGATGTAGGCGATGAGTCCCACAATAAAGAACAAATATTTAGGCATCACAAGCAAAACTGCCTAAGCATCACACCTAGAGTTTTTTAAGCATCACACTAAAGAGGAATTGCATCACACAATCTGCAAAGCAAACACTTGCCAAGTTCAATAAATTATCAACTCTAATGAAAGTAAATATTCAAACTATATTTGTACTCTCTAAAAGTTCTACTCCTAGTTGAAATAGGAAACCTCTAAACAAGAAACATAATTGGAGTATACATAAGATCCTACTACTCAAACTCTAAAAGAAAAAGGAAACTTCATAAAATCCTAATAATACTCAAATCCTAGTTGATAATTTTAGTGATTAAACTTCAAGAAGAATTCTGATCCTTTTTTGAGTTTCAAAGTCAATCTTCACCAAAAAATTGATAGTCATCTTGCATGATTTTGTTGGCTGCATCAGGTTTAGTGGATGGTTTGATTATCTTATACTAAATTCTATGAAAGGGAATCCAATTACAATACTATGTAGATGATATTTGTGTCCTTGCAGCCCAATGGATACTTATTTGACAAAAGAAAAGTAATTTCTAGCAAAATCTCAGTCTGGAAATAATAACATTAGTCAAATTTAAAGTATTTTCATCTTAGTTATTACCTAACAATTAGTTTACATCCGTCATGGAATACCAATCTCAAACATTATATGAGATTTTATGATTCCATTGGATGAAATTCATGATCCACAATCCATAGACTTAATTTTTTGATTCATGACTCGTATTTCCATGAGCTAACTAAGGGTGACACTAAGTGTTTATCATGTCATATCAAAATTGTGGCTACCTACTTAACAGTTAACACAATTAATAAACGAATATTTTTTCGGGTTCAGAGTTCAAACCATGAAATACAAATTGACTCATGTAATCTATCTAACTAAACAATAGTGCCAACTTGATTAACAACTTGTCCTATCACGACCTTTTTATATTTAGTTCAGTAAGTTCTCTAATAATAAATCATACATGAATTTTGTTTCCATAGTGGTTACAAATTACAATTTGATGACACCATATAAATATAACATTTCATGTAAACCTAGGATTTTTGTAAGCTTATGGGTAGTTTCTTTTCAAACTTATTTGACATTGATGGAGATATGCATATTGTACATATGCCGTGTCGGTCATGTTAGGATTGGAATGACCCGTTCAATTTGATCTAATTACTTAAACGGGTTATTCATCTCTTGTAATTTGTTGACCTATTTAACAAATGGGTCATGTTCGAATAGAGTTTTCTAATAAATTTTTTGTCAATCTTATCCTGCTCAGATTGACCTATCTAGCAATCCATTGTTAATTTGACATGGACAGACATGACCAATAAAAATTGATTGCCTAGCAGCTGAATGTTCGCTGAGCAAGTTTGCTGTTTGCATTGCATCATGCAGATTTTGAGCAATTCAGAATCTTTCCCAAGAGAGATTAGAGAACACGTTCTGATGATAAAGGACTGTAGCAGGAGGAATTTCTAGTTGAGAAGTAATGAGGGGGTAACGTTCAAGTAACAACATAGAGAACTTACTTCGACATCATGCAGTAAAACTGTACCGTCTTCAAGTCCCAAGACAGTAACCTTGCCATTGGGACACCAGCATAATGATGTTATACATTTACCTGAAGCAGATTAGAATGATTAAGAGAAGTCAGTATTGACGACACAAATTGAAATGTGCAAAGAAAGTGAATCTATTATAAACAAAAAAGAACAGAGATAGAGAGAGCGAGAGAGAGAGAGAGAGAGAATGAATAATTTGTTCCCAATAAAATCAACAGAAGAAGAGAAAAGATAGAGGGCAGACATTAACCGACAAAGTGTTAATCAAAATTTGTGAAGTGAGACAAAACGTCATAACTATGCAAAATAACTGAGAGGGACATCAGTCACTTGATATGGGATTTCTTTGGGCTAGTAGGTCATCTAAAGCAAGGGAATGTATATCTTGTTGGCAGCCTCCAATCCAATATCTGAATCAAAAAAACAAATCTTGTTGTTCAACTATGGAACCTCAAGGTGGAGTGGATGCACGAAAGCTTACTTCAGGCGAGGATTACAAGTGTAATAGTATTTACAACTTAGGATCTTAAGAGAAACCATTGAAGGATTGGCACGAGTACTATGGTGCATTCACAACGTTCTCCGTATCCAGAAGACAATATGACGAGCGAAGCATTTAGATGTTTCTGGAGAAAAAATCTCCTCTCTAAATTTTTCCAGTGAGAATAGACAGCAAGAACTACCAAGGCTGGGCATCTAATCCTAAGCTCTTACGAATTTGTATTACCAAAAGATGAAGTCATTTAGGAACTTAACATACTTGGATGCAGCTCCCCCTACCCTCCAAGTCTCTTTGCTTTCTCCAATTCCTCCCTCCGTCCCTCTCGACCAGATTGTCATGCAAGTACGCAGCATAGCTCGAGATATATCCTATTCAAAAGTTAAACTCCCACCAGGGAACTTGACTAATCAATATGATATGACAAAATGCCCCTCTGTAATGAAAAGAAGATTAATTAAACTTCAAGCAATACAAAATGTGAGAAACTTTCTGCCTACAGTCTATATTTCAGTATCCACTAAATCTCTCCTTGTTTGTAGGGCACGCACAGTCAGTAAAAGAATGCTCGATCAGTAAAAGAAGAGGAGCCAGCAGTAAAATTACATTTGTGAGAGTCACCATCAGAAATCTAAGAAGATCTTTCTAGATGCCTGATGAACATTTAGATGGTATTCTGCAGGGGCTAAACCTGCGAACTCCGAGTGGGGCATCAAGCATTTCTGCATCTGACATAGCTAATCTATCTAGCATAAATGGCAACAACCTGGTTGAGAAGTTGATAGAAATCAATTGCGCCTGTAAATAAAATCCCTCAATTCAACTAACACCAGCTTGGAATTCTTTTACTTGCAACTAAGTCGTCTCTAGATTTTCACTCGCATCACCATCATTCACTCTTCGTTGCTGTGTGAAAAGACCAACTCCTTAGTTCGACGGTCCCCTTCTCATTTAGACTTGCACGCACTTTATACCTCTATTATTCGTCCAATTCTCCATCGACCGCAATTCAAGCTAGATTGGCAATTACATTTTGGTTCCTCTCGGGAAAAGGAAGCGTAGCACATTTAGGAAAAGCGAAAGAATTAACATGAGGAACGAACACACTGAATTAAAAAAAAAAAAGAGAGAACTTTTCTCGAATCGAAGCAATACCCAGGAGAGGTTGTCCACAGCTTCTTGCCAAATGAAGCGACGAAGCACCCACCTTCCTTCGAGTCCTCCGTGTGACCATCGCCAGCAAACCCTTCTCCGGAATTCCACTCACGCCATCTTCACCTGCCGCAAACCGGAAGAAATCGAGCAACAACCTCACAAAACCGAATCGGAAAACAATCGAATCGACCAGCCCATTAGGAGGTCGCGAAAAGAACGCCCGAACGGGAGCAGAGCCGAACCTGAGAAGCCAAGCGGGGATTTGTCGAGCTCGAAGCCGAAACGGAAAAGCACACGCCGCCGACCCTCCTTCGTCGGTCTCCCATTGCTAGAGAGCTCCTACTTCTTCTAAGGACACGTTTCGTTCCACGTTGGAATATGAACCTTTCGAATTATTAATAGGTTAATTCTTCTTATAATAATCACGCCCAGACGCGAAAAAGGGGGAAACGCTGCGTTCGAAGCAATAAGGCTCTTGCAAAAAGGGAAAGCGTAGCACATTTGGAAATTCGTTCCCGTGTAAAAAAAATCAATACCAGGAGAGATCGTCCACAGCCTCTTGCAAATTGAAGCGAGGAAGCACCCCCCCACCTTCCTTCTGAGTCCTCCGCGTGACCATGGCCACCAAATCCTTCGCCGGATTCCACTCACGCCATCTTCACGCGCCCGCCCGCCAAATCGGAAGAAATCGAGCAACAGCCTCACCCAAAACCGAGTCGGAACACAATCGAATGGGCCCCGCCCCATCAGGAGGGGAGCCGAACCCGAGAAGCCCAAGCGGGGTTTGTCGAGCTCGAAGCCGAAACGGAAGCGCGCGCGCCGGCGGCCCCACCTTCGTCGGTCTCCCATCGCCAGAGAGCTCCGGGGGAGCAGCCGAGAACCGCAAGCCAACCAGCTCACCTGCGAACGAATCACGAGGGAGCGTACAGGAAGCAGCGTCGGTGGCAAATGCGAACCCGAGAGTGGGAGGGAAGGAGGGAGAGAGAGCTCGTGAAGGATTAGAGCTGGAAAAAACTACTCTCTAATCTAATCTAATGCAATCGAATTCTTACTTTTTTTTGGGGGAAAAAACCACAAAAAAAAAACCTAAACTTTGTCGATCGTGACATATTTTTTCTAAACTTATATCGATGTGACACATTTATCCCAAACTTTCTTCTATCACATTAAAAAGTCCCAAATTTATACTTAAGTGATACATTTACCCTAAAATTTTCTTTTGCGATGCCATAAAACCCAAACTTACACTAAATTTATGGGGTAAATCTAGCACATGAGTATATATTTGGAATTTTTGATGTCATAAGAAGAAATTTGGGATAAATGTATTGAATGAGGCATACTTATGGTTTTTGGTGACTTTAACCTTTTTATTTTTTTTTTATTTTGATTGAAAGTTTGTAGGCGACTTTTCAAGATTATTTTATATGTCCATTTGTTGAAAAAATATGGGAAATTCAACTGTGGCTATTTCTTCTTCTTCTTCTTCTTCTTCTTTCTTTTGTTTTTTTGTCCCTTTTGTCAATTTCAAAGCCGAATTAAAAGTTTGATGTATCATTCGCTCTTTTGAAAGAAAAGAAATGACTTGCTTATCACCGGCATTGTGGTCAGTCTAAGTAATGAATGCTTCGTGTGCTTTATTTCCAAAACTTGAAAATTTTATGTTAATCCACGCTCATTATTAGTGAATCCATCTATTATAGTATAAATACGTGGACTTTTATGGACAGTTCTGTCTTACTTAATGGAACTTTTAGAATTGTCTTTGACAATTTGAATGACACGTCATTGTTTTCTTATTAATCACGAGACATTACATTGATGCGAATGTGATGAATTAGTTACTTTTGAAAAAAAAAGAAAAAATGCTAATGAATTACTCAAATCGACATCTTAGGAGAGCAAGCATTCGCGCGCTGCTTAAATGTCGAGACGACAGGCCAAGCTCGAACTCGACCAAGCCATTCGCCATCACCACCCAAGCTCCAAACACTCGGCCGAATAGAAATATTCGAACATGTTGTTAAATTGACATGGGTCGACCGCCCATGAAAATATTTGTAGAGACAATTGAAATGACTCGGCACTTAGCATGTCCGCAAATGGTACGCAGCCCTCAGTTTTTTCTTAATGAGAATTCACTTTTAGTTGTAGACCGAAGGAATTCGTAATTGATGTTCCGCAATTCATGGTTGTTATTCCCATGTATGCCTTTCGAAAAAAGGCTTTACAAAAGAAGGCTTGAAAGAATAATTGTATTTCTTGCCGGTGTGGTTGTAGACTTCGTTCACTAGATTGTGCGTGCTTGAACATGTTGAAGAGGAAGTTTCGAGTGACATTCTTTTGGAGGTTGGAGTGGACGATAGTGACAATTTGAACGAATTTTGTTGACAGGAGAATATTATCTTTTTGACGTCTCTTTACATATCTTCTCTATCTTCACTGAGAAATCAAATCATACTTCAAAATTACCAAGAGCTATATCGGTGCCTTTCTTCTTTCCTATGCATAATTATAGCTATAATTGCAAAATAAGTAGTGGAATACGAGTAAACTCCTAATCTTTATTTATTAAAAGGGAAAAAACTACAAAAAAAAACACTAAACTAGGCCCAATAACCTTAATATCTCAACTTTTTTTTTGTCGCCAAAACTCCCTATAGGGCTCATACTTGTACCAATGTGACAAAAATATTCTCTGTTTACCACAAAAAATCCTAATTTTTTCTCACTATGACGTCAACACTCAACTTTTTTTTTGTGTTAATGGTACCCTAAACACTGATACAAGTTTGGGAGGTTTTGGTGACAGTTAAAAAATACAAAAATTTTGGAGTATTTGTATCACCTTAAGCATTGTTTAGTATCGCTGGTGATGTAATTAAAAGTTTGGGATATCGATGTCATGGTGGGTATAATTTAGAGTTTTGAATGGTATTAACTCTTACTAAAAAGACGCTAAAAGGACTTGTTTGATCCAGCTTAAGCTTAAAAAGGAAATGCCCTCTCTATATATCCACGCCAATATCAATGTTTTACTTTATTTCGAATTTCAAATAACGATGAGAAAATTAAGGTAACTTAAAATTCATTATCTATAAGTAGAAGTCTAATTTCGATCCCACAACTTCAAGTTAAAACTAAATGTCAAAAAGAGAAAGCCACGACCCCACAAGCAGTAATATTATGCGCTCTCTCTTTTGCGATTCACGTAATCCTCTCACTTTTGACTCACAAATCGTCTGAATTCTCTCTTGGTATAGTTTCATTTCCATCCCATTACATTTATAGATGGCACATGCCTTGCGGAATAACTCATTGTCGTAGTAAGCCGAAATCATATAATCGAGCCGATATCGAAAGAGTTCTTTGAATGGGAACAGGACCGAGCTGGCAAAAGAAGACTCATCAAACAGCGGCATACTAGTCTTGCTTCTCTGGCCGAACCATGCCCCCTTCCTTAGGACTCACCTGTCTTCTTGAAACTCGCCATCCACGCCCGTGCTGGTTCGAACGCTTTCCGATCTTAGGGGACGATACCACCAGTAGGTGTTGAAAGTCATTTGAAATAGGCGCACCCAGGAACGCAGGGCTATTTTCACAACTAAAGCCCCGGCTAACAAAATCAGTAGAGAGAGAGAGAGAGAGAGAGAGAGAGAGAGTGTGTGTGTGTGATGATTTAATGGGAAGTCCAGTCTACTGAATTTACAGCAACGGATGGCTTAGGTTGAGTTCAAGAGACGTTACATCAAAGCTATTACAATGTAGTGAAAATGCATTAAGCTTCACAAAAAGAAAAAAAGAGCACAAGGTAGTGAGGAAAAAGATCCAGCCATCCAGGAAGCCAAAATTATACATTGTTGTAACTTAATTTTGTCTACGGAATCGAAATAATGCATGGGATATAAAATTTGAATGATAAGAACAAGTGATCTGCACGTGATTGATGGGGCGTCTCATAGCTTTCTGTCCAAGCATATGCCTCACTTGGAAGTCTTCTTTTTTAGAAACGAAATTCCCTGGACACTGTCGCCATCTCCTATGATAGTCTAACATCCATTTTATGCTTTGCAAATGTCTACGCCTAATAAAGGTACGTAACAAAAAATGCTGAACCAGCTCACTTATTCCTTCAGGCACGCTACAACAAATACAAAGCCTCTCTCGATCTCAGTTTCACCCACACCAGCTCTTGCCCCTCTCACTC